ACAAAAAGGCGGTCGCTCCTCCCTGCAGAACAGGAGTCACTGGGGGACCTCGGGACAGTCTCCTCTGACAACAACGCAGCCAATCGGAGCCAGAGGCCACCCTTCCCATCTCGGCCGATCACGTCCGGCCACTCCTCTCACCAGGGCCCAGGGAACCGGGCAAAGCCGGACCACGCGCAGCCCCCCAGCCACGCCCCCTCGGCCCTTAACGATGACATCACGCGCGGCGGGGGTAACTATGGAAACCCCATCGCCTGGCGAGAAAGGCTGGCGCGAAAGCCCTCCCGGAGACTAACCTAGCTCCGCCTTTCCTCGGGAATCCTCCGAGGTCCCGGCTCCAGGTCGCCCCAGGCTGCTGCAGTCCTGAAGAGAACTTGCTCGGACCTAGGCACCTGGCGGGGGCTACGCGCCCGACGCCCGGGTCCCCAAGCCCGGACTCGCCGCTCCCACGGGCTGGTTCCGATCGGACACTTCCGGTGGGAGGACGGCGCGGCACCACTCTGGACGCTTCCTTCTCGAGAGACTTGTGAGTCTGCGCAAGAGAAGACGGCGGGCTTTGGACTGCAAATCCCAGAAGCCTCCGGGACCGCCCGGGCGCTTGGACTCCATTTCCCAGGCGTCTTTGCCACGGCCCTGGCCCTGTCGGAGCGCTGAGGAGGTGGCGCCTTTCCTCGCCGCGCTGTGGTGAGCTTGTCTTCTGCGCCCTGGCGCCTCGCGCTTGACTTCTGGCCGAGGCTGTGAACTCGAAGACTGCGCCGCAGGGACGCAGTTGCAGACCCCTCGTGTAAGCGTCTTTTCCTGACACCGGCTCTTCGCCCAAGCCGGTGAGAGGCAGTCACCCAGAACGGGGTTCGTCGCGCCCCTGGCCCCGCGCCGCCCGCGCGGGGGACCCCGGAGTGTTGGCGTTCCTGCGGTTACCCGGCCGGGAGCCGCCGTGGCCACCACGCGCCCCTCCCCGACCCCTCCCTCGATGCCACCCTGCGGGCGGTTCTGCAGGTCCCCTCCGGAGAGTGAGCCCCGCGCAGGCGTCGGGTGGCCCGAGTGCTCGGGGGGACGCTGGTTTTAGCCTCAAGGCCAGAGTCCTGGGCAGCCTGCCATGCGCTGCTTTTCGCTCGGCAGTGTTCCTGGGAGTGCGCCTTTGCGTGGAATTAAACTTGACTTCCCTTGCCGTGCAGGACTCCGTGTAACGCCGCGTGCGTCCGTCCGTCCGTCCGTCCGTCCGTCCGTCCGTCCGTTCCAGAGGGGCTGGGCGCTGTTGCTGCCGCCGGTCGTCTCCCAGGGGAAGCCTCTGCGCCGGTCTGCGCCCTCACGCCCGCTCACAGTAGAGCAGCCAGGCTGTTCCACTGTCTTTAAGATCCGACAGCGGGTTTTGGCAGTTTACACCGGGAAACGCAGCTGTCAGATGGGCTGGCGTCACCTGACTGTGGCTGACAGGGGTGTAGGGCGGTTGGTATAAATTTATTGAACATCTGCTTAACTCGCGAGGCTGCATATTTAGTTGTGACGTTTCATGGCCTTCAACGATCAGCTGACAGACCCATTTTGCCCACAAAAATGGTGTTCCTCCCACTCCAGCCAGATGACATACCATTTGGGAACCAGACCATCAAATTCACGAGAAAAGGTTATTCTCTGGCGTAAACAAGCCGTGTAAAGTCATTGCACTGCCTGTTATTTTAAGCTTGGCCTGTCTATCACCTGTCTGTGTTATAATTGATATTAGCATACTACTTTTTGGTGTCCAGAGTAATGATTCTGCATATGGCGAAATGATCACCATAACATTCGTCACCATACATAGTAAGAATCTTTTTTCCCCACGTGATGAGATTTTAAGATTTACTCTTTTAGCAGCTTTCAAATAAGCAGTGCAGTGTGAATAGTCACCTTGCTGTACACTACCATTCAGGCCTCATTTATTTTATAACTGGAAGTTTCTGTATTTGATCCTCTTTACCCAGGACGTGGCCTCTGGCAACTCCTCTTTTCTGTATGTGTGAGCCCAGTTTTTATTTTTTGATAATTACAGTATAAACAGGATCACACATTGTTCCTGTTTTACTCTTTTGTTGTGATTCATTAATTTCTGATTTTATCTCTATTTCTATTAAAGTCCTTTATTTTGTTGTCTTTTTTCATGTGTCCAATTGGACCCTTATATTTATTTATGTTCATTTTTACGGCTTAAGAATTCTCCTTTGCACATTACTATAGTTTTTCCTCATGTTTCGATGATCATAATTTTTTATGTATTAGCAAATACTTACATTTCATCTTTGAATAAGATAATTAAAATATTTCAAGAGGAGGGCTTTATTGTCTGTGAACATGTCATTCACTTTAAGTACTACAGAATTCTAAATAGAGAATGTAGTCTTTGTTTCATTATGGGGGATTTTACAAGGTGGCTTCCAAGAGATACGCATGGTAAGATACAGGTGTGTGGGTATGGTCTTGAAGTTAACACTTGAGAGTGTTTGAAGGAAGCAGAGTTGGGCAGAAGTTGGACTCTGAAACCAGGAATCAGGTTGCCCCGAGTGGGTGGGTTGAGAGATGAAGGTCTTTATGGCCCCTTGAGAGACCAGTCATTGGATGCAGTTTGCCTCCAGAGAAGAGTTTTCACCTTGAACCAGGCTGTTCTTTTATGCTGAGGGCGGTTCCAGGAGAGGGCGAGCAGGCTCACTGACAGCGCTTCCAGCAGTGGGGTTAGTCCGAACACCCTCAGAGGCGCTCGGCGTGCGGAAACCTGGCGGTGTTCCCTTTGTACTGTGTCACATACAGCCTCCCTGCAGTTTGAATCAAGGCTGGGTGATAAGGATAGCTAGAGGCTGGTGGTGGCCGTGGCTGAAATGCTCAGAATGCACTTCAGCAGTGGCAGCTGACTGGCACAGTGAGCCAGTGTCTGTGCACACAGTGTGGTGACCCGAGCTGTACCACGGAGCGTTCAGTGACCGCGAGCTTAGTCAGCGCACAGCGTGGTTACGCATGTTACTCTGACGGTGGTGTGATTGCGAGCCTGAGTCTGCTCTACACCCGCCTGCAGCTTTATGAGCTACCCAGGATTTTTGACTAAGTTCTGCTTAATTAAGGAGAATTGATTTATGATTCTTTGCAGCTAGCTGTTTGGTGCATCTCAGCCTTTCAAGAATGGGAATTGGGGTATGATTGCTTCATTTTCGCTGTGGCCCCTCTCTGCCGTCCTGTGTTACTGGGACTGATTTACACAGCCAGTCCTTGCATTCTCCAGCGCATTTTCCTAGTCTTTGTTTCATTAGTGTAACGTAGAGACACAGAGTGGTTTGTAGAGGTTTTTCTCATCATAAATACATGAATTCGGATTTGTAGCAGGATGTTTCTTAAAAATAACTATCATTTTACCGTATCTTCTCCCTATTACCAGATCACATGGCGATGATTCAACTTTGTTTTTATTTTAACCAGTTTTGCATAGTCTGACTTAAATATGGGACATGATATGAAGAAATGTACTTCTCAGGGACCTGGGGCCACCTGGACCCAGGAAGCAACCTGTAGACTCAGATAGAAGATCCGAGTGTCAAGGGACATGGGTGTACGGTTTCCATGGCTACTGTGCTCTGCTTCTCATAGGGAACCCTGCATCTTCCACAGTAAACAGCAACTCAGCTGAACAGCTTCCTAGGCAGTTTTATACAGTGCAGCATGAAGATTTATGCAGCTATATAATTGACAGAGACACAAACCCTGCTTTTTGTGCAAGAGAATAAGGACTCTAAGAACTGTATAGAATGCAGTCATAAAACATGAGTTCATATGGTACGTGAAAAAGAATCCATCCCTCATTCTCAGCAGTGTGTAACGTGAAAGCTGCGCTGCGTTCGCAGTCACTTACTCAGTACATTTACTCCTGTGGTGCCGTGCTCCTCTTACCGGTTTGTCTTCCTCACGTATTTTGACAACCTCAGCTTCCCTATCTTGTCTATATTGAAGAGCGGATTACGTTCTATATTTCCCCTAACCTTTTACTAGACTTCTGAAGTCATTGGAATATTTTCTTTCTGGTCTTCCTGGTGGCTCGGGGGTTAAGTGTCAATACTATCAAATTGTCGCCAGATCCTGCAGCATGAGTTTGATCCCCCGGCCTGGAGGTGACCCGCGTGGCGCAACAGACCTCCCCTGACCCACCCGCTGCTCCCCTCAGCAGTGTACTTCGTCGATATGTCTGTTCGGCGCCCCACTCTGTCTCTGGTGAGTCCTGTCTCCCCCCTGAACCTCTGACCTGTACCCCAGTTCTTGTATGCATACATTAATAAAATGAACCTTAAAAAAAGACTGTTTTCTTTCTTTGACCTCACACAGTAGTTTGAACCTCTCATTACGTAGTAATCTTGTTCTCTACAGTTTTCATGGGTGACAGTGACCTATTGCTATCTACTCTAGTCCTGGGGAAATCTTTTTTATCCCCTCCCAGTGGCATATGCCTCACTTATTCTGAGGCTTATGTTGATTTCGTGTTTATATTGTGATTTTCAAGGACTTTATAAATATTTCCCTACATCTTTAATATCTTAGTGAACTCAACTGGATAGGAGCTATGATTATGTGACTATTTCGTTAGGCATATAATAACTGCTTTGTGATTATAATGAGAATGAAAATGTTCTCCTTAGGATTTGCCTCTTGTTGAACTTTCAGACAGTGCTCTGGCACAGAACCTTCTTTAAAGCCCCTTTCAGGTCATTGTTCCTTAGGCTATAAATGAAGGGATTCAACGCAGGGGCGACAATCATGAAAATCACAGATGCAGCCGAGTCTTTGTCGGTAGAATGGCTGGATGTGGGACTCATATAGATTCCTATGATTGCTCCGTAGAAGAGAATGACCAAGGCAAGGTGAGAGCCACAGGTGGAGAAAGCCTTGAGTTTTCCTTGCTTAGAAGGGATTTTCATCACAGCAGAGATGATGAGGCAGTATGATGCCAGGATACAGCCTGAAGGTACCACAAATATCAGCCCTACCACAGTCAGAACCATGAGCTGATTAAGACTCGTGTCAGAACAGGATAAAGGGAGGAGAGAGTTGATGTCGCAGAAGAAATGGTGGATGACGTTGTCAGAGCAGAAGTGCAGACGGGCCATCAAAAGGGTGTGCAAGAGCGGGTTCAAAATGGCAGTGACCCAAGGAACAGCCACCAGAGAGGCACAGCGACGCTGGGTCATAATGGTGGAGTAATGCAAAGGGTGACAGATGGCTACGTAACGGTCATATGCCATCACTGTGAGAAGGAAGTTGTCCATGTTGGCAAACATCACACAGAAATACACCTGAACCAGGCAGCCAGAGTAGGAGATGGACCGAGTCTGTGTTTGGATGTTGAATAGCATCTTGGGAACTGTAGCTGAAGGAAGGCAGATGTCTACCACGGACAGATTGGCAAGGAAGAAATACATGGGTGTATGAAGGCGAAGGTCTGAGCCAATGGCCAGCAAGATGAGTGAGTTTCCAAACAGCCCTGCTAAGTACAGACACAGGAAAAGTGTAAAAAGAAGTGCCTGCTGTTCTGGCCAAGCTGAGAAGCCCAGGAGGAGAAATTCAGTGACACTGGTTTGGTTTTCCTTTTCCATTGCTTGGATTTATCTGCATGAAGACCCAGAGGATGAAATAATTTTGGCAGGAAAAAATTTCTTTGGCATTTTTTTTAATATTCACCTAGCCTAGTGCTATTTACTAAGTAGTTACCCTTTCAGTTATCTGCCTGTATTTCTACGACCTCTATCTCCCTTCAGGAGGTAAGAGATTTTCTTCCTGCTTCTGATGTTAACACCAATTCTTGCACGTTCTGTATTGTGTATTCTGTATTAGCACTGCGTGTAGGAATGCATCCATGAGTCTGACTCATTAATTTACTCCATGTCAAACACTCAAATTTAAGTGTATAAGTTTTCCCAAATGTTTGTCCATTGGTGCCTCCCTGGTGGTGCAAGAGGTTGAAGCTACCCACAGCCACTGCAGCACGAGTTTGATTCTTGCCAGCGAGCTCACCTACATGGCGTGGAAGACCTCTCCTGACTCCACACTGCTCCCTCAGTAGTGTTTTTCAGGTAGATCTGCCTGTTCTGCTCCCCACTCTGTCTCTGGTGAATCCTCTCACCTCCTCCCTATACCTCTGGCCTGTACCCCAGTTCTTGTATGCATAAATAAATAAATCTTTAAAAAAATGTTTGTCCATTGCCACATGAGCCATCCTTGGAAACCAGTCAGACTTCTACCATTTAGGACTTGTAAGAAGACATAAACTATCCTATCATTTTATTTATTAATTCTTTCTTATCTTTTTAATATTCAAAAGAAAACATACATTAGCATGCTTGACAAAAGTTAGGCAAATTAAACCTCTGAAACATACATAAAGAGCAGCACAGGAAAATATTTACAAATATTTTAAAAAGTCCTGTAGAGCATGTAGTTACAAACATAGGTAAGTCTAAAATGGAGAAGAGGGAAGATGTATGTCCAAATAGACGGCATGTTCAAAAGGCTCCCACTTAGGATTTTGTAACATTTTCGCTAACTACAGAAGGTTTGTGTTTATAAGGTATGGTGATGACTTTGGTCCTGCATCTCTTGGAGTTGTAGAAAATACACGGTATGAGAAGACAGAATTCCTGGTCCAAGAAATTTGAAATCAGGTTGTAGAGGAAAAAATACTAGCATGGAAAATAATTAAGAAGACAAATACATATACAGCTGAGACAATTTCAGAGAAGGGAGGATTTTCTGAAGTAGGAAGCACCCTGGAGTGGAATTAGCCAACACTGAAACCAGAGCACACCACTTACAGCCTGCGTGACAAAGTCACTTTAATTCTCTAAATCTTAGTTTTCTCAGGCACAGCAATACCTTCAAAGTTGTGAAAGTGAAATGAGTTGATACATGCCAAACTCAGCAAGTAATGGTTACTCAGTAAATTCAAGCTATTGTTGACAAAATCATGAAGGGTTACGGTAGCTTTCTTTCCCAGTTTCAACAGTGTCTTTTAAATCTTCCCAAACTCTCAATTCAGTATGTCCCTTACATGACATTTGATATTGTCACAGAGAAAACAAAAGCCACTATTAGATGAATGTGTCCAACTTCATGCTACCGGTTCAGAAAAACCTGTATCTTCATTTATCCTTCCTTACTCCTTTCTCTCAACAGAAGTAATAATCGTCTTCCAAAAATGTTAACACATCAGAGATGATCCCAACCCTCCCCACATCTCTGGAACTTCACTTACTCCTGTAATATGAATTTCTGATTTTTTTGACCCTTATTTTCAGCTTAAGTCTCTTCCATCTTTGTTATCTCTGTGCAGAGTCACATCTATCTCTGGCTACTTCCCAGGTGCCTCCTCTGCACAGCCCTTCACAGAACTGACTTCCTCCATCCCACTTCCGGCTTGTCTATCCCACTATGTCTAGAGCTCAACCCCCCACGAATGGCTCTCTCAAGTCTTTTGAAAAACTCACTGTACACTTATCAATAAGTATGTCTATATGCCTTCTAGAATTCTCTTCTTGATATACTCTTTTCCTCCCTGGATTTTATCTTTCCTCCAGTCTCTCTGAGCATTCTTGTTCAGCTGCCTTTTCAGAGTTTGCTTCTTTTGACTGCTCCTTAAATAATGGCATCTGTCTGATTTTTGCTTCATACCTTTTTTTCATCCTGCACATTTTCCTGTATGATTCTGCTCACTCCCATGTCTTTAATGCCTTCTCTGTCCATCTGTCCGTCCACCCATCCATCCGTCCACCCATCCGACTGTTTATGTATCTGTCCATCCACCCATCCACCAACCCATGTACCTACTACTTAGCTATCTTATCTACCAGTCACTCTCAGATTTATTTCTCTAGTATGTCGCTCTCATCTCAGATTTACATTCCCAGTGCTCTCTGTTGGATGTCATGGACATCTTTTGTTAAATATTTCTCAATGGAATTCATCATGTTCACCACCTCACTCTAAAACTGTTCTCCATAAAGACACATCACAAACTACCCAACTGTCCAAGAAAGAACACTTGGGTATGGGTTTCCTGGTAGTCGTCTTCTTCCTTTCCTTTATGGATGCATCTAATCAATCACTAAGCTCTGCCAGTTTACTTTTTGGGAATTGAAATATTATTTTTAGACAGATTTTTAGCATTACCACAGCAGAGGCACTGATTAGGCCCTGGGAATAGCAGTAATTAAGAAAGCCATGGTCTCTTAAGGAGCTTTAAACCCAAGCTGGAAACTTAAGAGTTATCCTTAACTCATCCTGGAAATTTCCAACATAATTAAAGTAACTTTCCTTGGGTGGTTGTAGCAAATAAAAATCACAGAGTGCTGTGTATTCTTGCTCTTGGCCAACAGCTCATGGTTTGGGAAATACAGGTGAGAGCTGTAGCATCACCTGGTACAGCTCTGGCCATGCACTAGGTTCTCAAAAAATGTTAGGTGGCAAGCCTTCTCTAACAGCTACAGAGGTTGCAGGTGGCAGCATTTTCACTATGGGTTTGCGAGTGGACATAGATGAAGGAGGGGGCAGATTAAGAGCTTTACTGGAAGCAGAAGAATTAAACATGTTAAAAGTCTCTTCTTGCTGAGCTCCCCCACCTCTAGGTCTCTCATTGGCCCAACAGAAATCTGTTTCCACCACTTGCCGTTATTTCTATTTAAAGTCCACCGGCAGTTTTCACAGAATTCTCTGCCCTGTCCCTGCTGGATGGAACACTTCATTTCTGTCCCCTTCTCATCTAGGTGGTTCCTTACCACTGTTCTGTCAGTGTCTGCTTTGATGAAAGTGACGTAATGTTGGACATAGTTGCCAATGAGATGGATGCTAATGCCACGTCCTTCTTCACTTTACATGGAGCTGTAGAATGGATCTCTGACAACACACTTGTAGTGTGTAGAGCTCTCTGCTTAAGGAGAAATCTCTGAGAAATGGCCCTAGTAATATCTTCATCGAAGTCTGTGCTTTAACTTGGGATCCTTGGAGAATGACTGGGTGAAGTAGGGCCAGTTCTTGGAGTTCACAGAGGATATGTGAAAATTTGGAATTTGGGCCATTTGCTACTTTATGCTATGGGGCCTGCATAATGGAGAAAACCTGTCTGCAGAGAGGGACTGATAACGTAGATTTCCAGGAAAAGATCGATTCACATGGTGCTGTCCTTTGGCTCTAACTCACTTCTTAATTGCGCTATTTAAAGGCTTCCCCCTATCTACGTTCCCCTTCCACCTTTGTTCCTCTGAACTTTTTGTCCTACCAAACTAGATTCTTCTGCAACTCAGTTCTGAAGACACAGCATCTGCCTTTTTTTTTTTTTAAAGATTTATTTATTTATTCATACAGAACTGGGGTGTACAGGCCAGAGGCTCAGGGGCGGTGAGAGTCTTCACCAGAGACAGAGTGGGAGACAGAACAGGCAGATCGACGAAGCACACTGCTGAGGGGAGCAGCGGGCAGGGCAGGAGAGGTCTGCCGCACCATGTGGGTCACCTCTGGGGCAGGTGGGGATCAAACTCATGCGGAAGTGGCTTTAGCTTCTCAGTGCTGTGCTTTAACCCGCTACGCCACCAGGGAGGGCCAGCATCTGCCTTTTTGTTTAAAGCTTGGGTTAAGTTTATAGCCACTGTCCAACTTCACACCCACTGACACTTCAAATATCATTTAACCAAGTCTTTCTAGTATAGATACATTGCCCCTTGTTTTCTTTTATTTTCACTTAAGCCTATTAACTGAAAATCTTAAACTCTTTGTAGAATGCTGTCAAAAGAACTAATCTGGATATTTAACAATTTTCAGAGAATGTGTACAGTAAATAAGTATACTGGAGGGAGAAGAAATAGCTTTCAGTGATGTATAGGAGAGACACCAGGGTTATAGGTGTGTGCAAATACTTTGGATGCACAATCATAGGTAATGATTGATTTCATCAGTCCGTGACACTGGTGATAGAGGTGATAACGTTAAACACCCTTCCCCCTTAATTATCCATAATTCAAAATGTTTTCACGCTTGGAAAATATGATGAAAACGAAAGTATATGAAAGTTCAGTGAAAGTATATGACATTAGCTGAGTAAATTTTATAACTGAAAATCATAAATTTTACCCCAAAGTAGAAAAAAATCAAGTCCTCAATACCATACCTAATGATTTCACCGTTTGTTATTCCTTATCATAACTGCAAGTCCCTCATCCTCATTTTGTAGACCATGGACTTAGCAGAGGGAGGGTCTGAAGTAAGAGTTCTTTGAGATTTGAGATAGAGCCCATTTTTCACTAAGCTGCTAATGCATCTAGGACTTAACACCTTTATAGGGCGGACCCCTATCATCAATTCATTCCACAAATAGTAACTAGCACCTTCAGGCCCGGAAACCTTGAGACAACCTAAACTTGTTTATCTAAATAAAGACTTACTCTCTCCTTTTCCCTCAAATCTGCCCGCTTGGCTCCCCGTTGCACTTACCAGATGCTCATATCAGGAGCCTCCTGGGAAGAGACCTGAGCTTCCAAATCTCATGCAAGGGTAATGGGAAAAGTAAAATAGGGAGGATGTTACTTTTTACCCCAAGAATGTACAAGGG